GAAGTTGAGTTTGAGAGGCGAAACGGCGGCGGCAGCCGCGCTCCTCCCGCTCCTCTGCCTCCCCATGGATATGCACTGCAAAGCAGACCCCTTCTCCGCGATGCACCGTGAGTACCGGCGCCCGGCTTCTGTCCCAGCTCAGCTCGGGGCTCCCCGTCCCAACCTGGCTCCATCCTGGCGCGGCCCTGGCCCCTGGTGCTCAGTCCCATCCTGGAGGCCACACTGGCTTCTCCCAGTCTCCCCTTTCGTTCTTCCTCTCTCACTTCCCAGTGTTTCTAACGCCTTCCTGTCACCCATGCTTCTCCCTCTGCCTGCCTTCCTACCTTCCCTGGTGCCCGTCATCTCCCTTCCTTCCTTCCTTCCTTCCTTCCTTCCTTCCTTCCTTCCTTCCTTCCTTCCTTCCACCTGCTCCTTGTTAAATCATGGGTCTATACCCCATCCCCACCAGAAACCCCAATTCCCTAGCCACCCTCTTACCCTGGGCGGGGGGACTAATGAGCTGGCTGTTTTCAGGGTTTGTGTTGTGTTTTCTCTATCTTCTGTCTCTTCCTCCCTTCGCCTCCCCGACCTCCCTCCCCTCATCTCTACCTTTCCCCAACTTGCAATGTGGTTGTCCAGGATGAGACTTGGAGCATCAGCAGCCTCAGTGTCAGGACAATCAGGCAGAAGAGTATGGGGGTGGGGTGCCCCCTTCTGACCCTCAGCTCCCAGTATCTCTGGGCCGCCAGCCCAGCCAAGGCTTCTTATGGGCTGGTTTGAAACGCTTCCTTTTCTTTCCTCTCTTCCTTCCCTCTCTTTCCCCTTCTCTGCTCCTTGAGTTGGGAGTCTGAGACTGGCAGGATGTGGGGTCTTCTTTCTCCACCCCACCCGGGAGATGCTCCAAAAACAAAGACAGGTTCCAAAGAGACATTGAAGTCCGCAGGAGCCGGAGTAGAGGAGCCTCCAGGAGGCACCTGGGCAGAGCCAGGTTCTGCTTCTAGTTCTGGAGGCTCCTTGCCCACCTTACACTCCCTGGTGGGGACGGTTTAGCCAGTGACCTGGCCAGGGTGTAGGCAAAGAGGGAGAAAATGTGGGGGAAAGAACAAAAGGAAGGCAAATGCCGAAGCAGAGGCGAAAGGAGAGCGAAATCAAAACATGGGCCAGCGAATAAAAGAGAAAACAGAAAGGATGTGACCAAAAAAAAAAAAAAAAGAAAGAAAGAAAAGAAAAAAAAGAAGTGAGGAGCAAAGAAACCAAAACAAAATAAGAAAAGGGAATGATTTTAATTAAATTTGAATTTAATTCATGTCATATGTCTTTAGCTTGGAAACCAATTCAGAGATTTTTTTTTCAGGCTTTTAAAAAAGATAAATGGATCCTAAATAAAAACATCTCCTCCTTTGTAGATTAATAATTAAGGATGATTTGTAACTTCACAGGGAAACTTTTTAGAACTCGCTTGATAAATGCTTTGGATGAGAGAGCTCGGAGGAAGAGCTGAGTTTTTCTCTAAGCATACATTTAGCATTACAGGGAGGTGCGAGAGCTTTAAGAAATACCCCTCGGATAAAATACATTTTCCTAAATAATATCCAAGCACAGGAAACCCGAGCCAGGAGCGCTGAGCTGCGGC